GTTTTTGTGTATTTGTGGAAATGTGTGTACGCGTATGTGGAATGTAGAACAATTCCCATGCATTAATCAAAGTGTTCTGTAATTGGAATATTATCGATACTGTATCGAAATGCAAACGTAACCGTAACCGCAACCGCAGCTCGTCTGCCGATTTTAAAACCTAATAAACAGACTTGAACGCTGAATATATAGTATGGCCCCGGTGTACAGGTTTTCAAATTCGATGCTCGAACGTGATTTGTTCCGGTTTCGAACAAACCGACCGGACGACTACATTTCATGAATTCCAGACGAGGAACATCTTTGTGCGAATTAAATATAATTCATAAATCCGCATTTAACAACAACTGCCAGTGGTTTCAGATGTGAATTACAATTTCGTATTATTATTCATATTTTTAGAAATGAAATTTCTTCATTATTTGAAAAGCTGTTAACCTCTCTTTCAAGTCATATGTTTTAATGATTAGATTAGCTATAAAAGCATGTCATTGATCAATCCGTTCAATCCGCGCATATATAGTACGTATATATATATACGTACTTATTATTTAAAATATGTGAATTCTTGTGTTATCGTTCTTATCGTTTTGTTATCAAAACCATTTAAGGAATTCCAACGATTTTGACTGGAATTTAAAATGGAAATTCGTGTAAAAATGCAAATGAACGGGATCGCACAATTGGCGCACAAAACACTTTTGATTGAGCATTGAATTGGTTTCAGTGTCAGCCTTTATCAGCAAATGCATCTCAAAAGCTTTGCGGCGCACCTAATCTGTCAGATAGATAAGCGGGGACAAATCTTTTAAGCTAGCAAGGTCTAAAACTTTACAGAAACGCGAATATTGAAGAACAGCAATATCGAGCTGAAAATTATACTATATTGTAAGTATAATAATTTCATCCTCCCTTTTCATTAAACTCTTCCTCTGAGACAGGAGACCCATTCTTTAAATAATTAAATATGATCATTGCTGTTGCAATGCTTCTCGATTCAGCAAGTTTCTGGCGCCATTGCTAGCACGCTCTATTCACTTGCTTTGTTTACATTTCATAAATATTATATACATGTATATATTGTATAGTATATATGAATATTTTCATAGTATGTTCTCTAGTATATGTATATAGTAAATGGGGGGGGGGGGCTCTGACAAGTTGCTGTGACAAAATCTCATTTCATTTTGCAAGCGCTAGAAAAATGTGAAATAAAAGGAAAACATACATACATACATATATGCATTTATGTGTGTGTGTGTGTGTGTATTCTGAAATGCCATCATAAATTTGGACAGTTTTGTGTCGAATTTTTGACAGCCTCAAAACGCATGACTTACACAGTCAGTCGCACACTAGCAGTTGGCAGAAAATATTTGTCTGATTGGATGGATTGTATGGACGGATGGTTGGGATGAATGGCTGGGATGGATGGATGAGTCGTATATACATACAAACTTATTGGCATCATTATAGCTGTGAGCTCTATGCTAAACTTTGGCTCGACTTGTCGAGGGGGAAGCTAACGCAATGATGGCCCCAAAGTTACGGAGCAGTAAAAACTTCAACTCTGGACGGCTCATTAATGCGCACTACTTAAAAGACCATTTGGGCGTTAGCCGCATATACAAGTACCTACATACATACATACATGTGTGTGCATGAATATACACACATACGTATGTATATAGTTGTACGAGTATATAGGAAACAACACATGTTAACGCTGTCTCTCTGTTAGATGTTGTAGTGCTCAGATACTTTTGCCCCCAAATATACTTTTGGATTTGTGCGCAGCTCTGCAATGTGACGCCGCACTTTTCGGAACATTAGACACACGCACACACACACTCACACACACACACAGACACTGTATAATTGAAAGCAAAGCTACCCACTGTACGCGCTGCTTGTAATACTACTGGCAGTATTTTGTATCTATGGATATAATGGAGTGTCAGAGGCAGCAACAACTACAACAGCTACGTCTTGGACGACGACGACAGCGGGTAGTGGCAACAACTGCCAACAATGGAAATCATTCATCGCAAACGCACACCCATTTATGAAAAGAGTTTTCCTCACCCCTTGGCGAAAAGAGATACATACTTATGTACATATTGTACATACATACATATATAGTACATGCCTTATATGATAGCTAGGCGAAATGGCACGCATGTTCCGTATAAAAGCAGCTACAACTACTACAACCAGAGGTCACATTTTTGCCAACCCACAGTGGAATGAATTCTTCATTATTAACAACTCTAGATATCCTTGAGATATCTCCAAAGCATGATCTAAGAAGAGAATTCGAAAGTCCGTTCAATTCCAAATCAATTCTGATCAACATATTTTAAAGCAGAACTGAATCATTTACTATACTACTATATCAGAAGATCTTCACTCGTACTTTTTTTTAGGTTTACAAACAAATTCATGTTGTTGAGAGCCGTTCGATCGGAAAAAGTTTGCTTAAAATAGACAAATGTTGTTTATTTAATGAGCTTGCAGTTGATGTGGGAAAATTTTGCATATTCCGAGCAATTACTTTGGACGGATTTCATAGGAACTCATCAATTTATTTTGCATTCGAGGTGAACAATTTAATCGCATTTTAACTGAAATGCGTTAGAAGCTCTTCAGAATATCTTTCGTGCTTATTGTTACTTTTGCGCTGCATACTTTTAGGTTTAACTTTTCAGTTTCAGACCCAAATCTCGAAATGAATAATCATTTCTTGTAAGTGCGTCCTCTAGATGCATACTATGGACAACTCTTGTATTCCCCATTAATTTTCATCTAGCTTAAGCTGTCGAAGGATACTGGTTTAATAAATTGTATATACATTTATAAAAATAATAATAATATCTGATTAGAAATAAATGTATAGAACAGTGTTTACAAACTGCAAAATATTAGCGGATAACATTTTTCAAATACTTTTCCACTGCTGTTGAACGGATTGTAATGCTTTTTAAAGGCAACAAAAAGTCACGTTTTGAGGAAACGCAAACCACGAATCTTTATCGTTTTATATTTCAACTCTTTAAAATCGAGGTGGAATCAAAGCAAATTACAGACAACTTTAGTTAAACGAGTTCAAAATACAGTGAATTGAATAAATTGCTTTGCAGTGAAATAGGAGAGATTAAAAGAACCGCATAACTGAAGAGTGTTAAACGTAAACATATTTGTGCTCGCAAGTCTATCGCTCTTATAGCAAAATAACAGATCTCTGAAGATCCCCTTCCGACCGTTCAATGACTTTGGCAAGTTTTTGGAAAGGCGGCCATAAATTAAATATAGCAAAATGTTTAATTTGTGGGCATTGCTAAACAAATGTTGAGCCTTAGCTTCATTCACACATGTCCCACTGTGCAGTACAAAAATGTATTTTATGTTTTTTTTTTTTGTTTTTTCTGCTAGAGGGGGTTCGATTTTCCATGGCATTTTCCGCAGTGTGCATAAATCTTGCGATAAAATGCGCAGCAACATGTCTCCCCCTCTATGATATTTCCTCTCCCCAACCCTCCAACCCGCTACCCCCTACCCCTAGCCGCTGCCAGATGCACAGATACATGGGTCGTGCTGCACTGCCACATCCCCCAAAAATGAAAATGTCGTTGTTATTGTTGTTCTTGTAGTTGTTGTTGTTGTGTTTGGGGTTAGATTGCGGCAGGGGTTGATTGTGTGCGCAGGGATAGACGGCGGGGGGGTGCTGAAAATGTAAATGAATTTGCGCAGCAAGGAAGGAAAACGAAACAAATACAAATAATTTAAAAACGAAAAACGAAATAGTAATAATAGCGAATGCAAAAACATAAATAAAACTTTTCGCCAATATCAACAGAACAAATTCGATTGGAAATGCTAAAAATCGGTTGCCAGCAGCAGGCAGGCGCTATAAATGCATGTATGTGTTTGCGTGTGCATGTGTGTGTGTGTGTGTGTGTGTGTGTGTGGAAGAGTATCTCTGTTTGTGTGCAGCAGCTGATTAACAAAGAGAGCCGAGAAAAGCAGCGACGCATAAATAGCAGGAGGCAGAAGGCAGGCTGGCAAAAAGGCAGCCAAGAAGTGTGCAAGAAGCAAAACACCTGTTAACCCCTGTCTGTCCGTCTGTGTGTGTGTGTGTGTAGGTTTGCCTGATGAGTTGGCAAGCAGCACGCGTGTGTGTGCCTGTCTCTGTGTCTCTATTGCGAATGTGCTCGTGCCCTTAGCAATGGCACGAGTCGCTTGCCAGCCACAGCCACAGATACAGATACATTAGCCGCTGGTAATTGGCAGCTACGTGCCCGCTGCCCGCTGCCCAACCCTGATCCCTGTCCGGCCTCCTTGGCTGCACCATGCATGGCCATGGGCTTGGGCATGAACTGCAGTAGCGGCGGCAGTAAAGCGGGAATTGGGTTAGGAGTGGTACTGCGAACGATTTTGAAGAAGAAAAGGCAACGTTTGCGGCCAATAATGGAGCGCAATAACTATTCCCCAGTGCTAACCAAGTTATGTGCCGCTTCTCAACACTATTTGTAACTGTACTTATTTGAAAATGTTGATTAACAATTAGAGAAACTGTACTTGATTAACAAATAGAAGTGTTAAAGGCTACGTTTTCATTGCTTTTAACTCAATTATCTTATAATAATAATAGTTTATTCTACTTCTCCATCCTCTGCATGCATTTTAAATTCCCGATTTTAGACTTAAAAAGTGGATATATAGTATGTATGGCATGGCCGATTATGCAACTCCTTTTTGTCGCTTCCCCGGGAACTGCCTAGGCGATCTATGAGACCGGAAAGTTCAGCACCAATTCTCACTTCTCTTAGTCACAGTATTTATTGGGGCCGGCACAAGGGAGGGTATTTGTATAAATATTGCTGTCCCGGCATTATTGCGATAACTCATGTGAGCAGTCACGTACTCGCATGTGGAAAGTATAAAGGGGAACTGATTTTCAATCGCAAATAGAATTTGGTTTGTGGGAACTTCGAACTCACCTGTTGTCCAAACGCAAATTTTTGAAAGGCGGAAGAAGAAGAAGACGATTGTTTTGATTGTCTCTTGAATTATTGAAGATTTATTGAGTCGTTCACCAACACTGATCAAAACAATTTCACCTGTTCGAGGTTTTTGTATCCGGGAACTTTATATGGTATAAGGTCAGTCCTTAAGGACTTCTCATAAGTTGCACTTGTGACACTAAAGCGTGACGCTGTTGTAAGGCATTTTGGTAGCACTTTTGGTAACACTAAAAAAAATTAGTTTTCGCGCGTAACGGCAAAAAAATATTCAATACGTACGTATGTACATATATCTCTAACGATTTATGCGATACGATCAGATATATATATATCACTATATATGTGTATACAATGTATATAACAACGGATGTATGGAAGCTGCGGCTGCAGGCGGCGCGCGCGTTTTTTTTTTTTTAAATCGGAATAGTTGATGGAAAATTATCAAAAATGAAGAACAAATATGTAAATAAACAAACACAACGCACAAAACTTTTAACGGGCTGTGTTAAACAATTCAATTTAAAATTTGTTTCTTTTTCTTTCGGTTTGTTTGTTGTGTGCAGTTTTCAATTTTTTCAGTTTCAGAGTTGCTCGCGCGACGAAACCAACACGTTGAATAAAAGTTCGAGCGAATTTCAAATTCGCTTAAAGCCAATAAGTCAGTCGGCAGTGGCGCTCGCAGCGACGCCAACGCGGACGCCGACGCTGGCAGCAACAGCGCTGTGTATGTGCTTTTCGTTAGAACACAGTGCGAAAGCCGAAAAGAACAGAGCACGACAACGACGACGTCGACGGTGCCAGTGAAACAAATTGAAACGAACGACGAACGTACATTGGCGAAGGCGCGGCCGGCTGTGCGTTATATTGTTGTTTTTGCTGTTGTTGTTTGCGTTCTAAGCTCAAGTCGCGGCGTCGTACCGCACGAACAATCCAAAAACAAAAACCGCCACTATAAAATCTAATAAGAACGTTGGCGACGACGCTGCTCTTTCCCATACATAAAACTACTACAAATACACTGCGAGCGGTCGCTGGGTTTGTCGGTCAGGAGAGGGCGAATAGGGCAGGGCAGCGGTTTGTGGCGTTGCGTTCAAGTCTGGCACACGCAAAGCACTAAAATGCGACGAGGGCGGCGGCGACAGTCCGACTGTCTGGCCGACTGGCTGACTAATGAGAGACCGAAACAGCGAACCTCTTGTCGGAACGTGTGGAAACGGGCCAGCACTGCAAACAAACAACCAAACAAACGATGAACAAACTGACAGCCAGAAAACATAATCACCCGACAAAAAAGCTTATAAACGATTTGGAAAGAGCGTTTGAGAGAACCTGTTGCGAACGCACAAATCTCTAAATATATGGGTGTGGTAAATGAATACTTTATGTATTTATTTTGGAAATTATTTAAAACTATCACAAAACTTTTAGAACACACAACTTGAAGCTTATAGAGGTTAACACTTACTGACACTACATACAAATTGTTTGTTGAAAAATTAAAAAAAAAAAAAAAACTAACACGTGCATCAAGCACAATCACACTTATTCATGGCAAATCACTTACGTACAAACAAATTTAATAAGGGACATCCCACTTTTTTAAATATATACTTTGATATTAATAGAGCTACCAAATTTTTACAGCAGAAATACCTGTATTGAGGCAGTATTATCGCGGTTCCAAAGAAGTTACAGTTAGAAGTTGTGCACCAAGTATTTACTTTTGTGGCTATAATTTTTTTGTCGGGTGAGCAAGCTCTGTACCGCAGCGACGCCTCAGCAGCAGTTGTAGTCAAGTGGTAGCTGTGGTGCGTGGAATGACATGAAAATGAAATCGAAAATACCATCAAACGCTGCGCAATGTTTTGATTTCGTTTTGGATGGCAGGGCCAAGGTTGGCTCCCATGGGTCATCAAAGCTGCTGCATTGTCCATGCAAATATCTAACGGTAATTTGCGATTATCTTCAAGCTTCAAGGACTGGACAATTGCAATCGGAATTGATTGGGTCGTATGCCTCATGGGATGTTCACACAGAAGTGCCCTTGAGTAATGGAAATAATATTTTGCAATTTTTTTTTCCCTTTTGGCTAATAGCCTATTACTATCGAATGTAAGTAATTTCAAATGTAAGTATAAAAGTTTTATTTTTAGTAATGCTAGTACACTTGATGAGACAATTACTCCATTCCGGCTTCATCGTTCTCATCAGCGAATGATTCGTGCAGATTTGTTGTCTTCCGCCATTAACAATGAAGACTCATAACTTTGCATAAGCTCTTAAATATCTGGATCACAGTTACTGCTTTTAACTAACCTTTGCATACATATAGTGTTAGTATACACCAATAATTTAAGTGTTCAAAGAATAGATGCAAACGCTTAAAATTGTGTCAATTTTATTTCTGTATTTTCGAACTTGACTATTTTGGGTTTGTTAGGAATCACTCCGATTGGGATTCTTAAAAATCTATGTGGTTAAAGTCTGCTATGATTCATATAACCGACTGATAAGGCAGAGATCTGAAAACGCTTATCTGCTGACAAAGTTCATTAAAATCTTTCTCTCTATCTCCGTCAAGGTTATTCCTACGTAAAATTATTATTAGCGATACAATTTTACACTCCTCCGAGTCAGGCAGCAAATGCGGTTTAGTACTTCTACTTGTTTTCCCTTTTGCTATTTAATCTTTAAACTACGCATATAACACAGTTGCGTTTTTATTTGTACAGGGTATTTCCATGTCTGGCGCGATGGACTATATCGTTAATAATTCAAAATATTTCTCTATGTGGAATGAAAGTGTAAGAAACGGTTTATCGTACGAATGTTTGATGCGCATCTACAGTATGTACCATATTTTACTTGCATCCTCTTCATTCTGTGCGCCCGCCCACCATAAGCTGCAGATGCGGGAACAGTGTGGCATTGGAACACACACGCATACATACTCAAAAAGTGCAATCAGCAGCGGCGGCGGCGCAGCAGCTTTGTGACCTTGAGATTTTGTTTTTGTTGGCTCGTTCGGCCTAAATGGCATGCGCAGCCAGCCAGTTGAGTTGCAACAGAACAAGGGTACATAGCACACACATACATGCATACATGCATGTGTGCCTTCAAATAGACATGCGTTTGTGAGTATTTTATAAGGCAGAAAGCTTTCATAAGCCACAACAGCAACAACAACAGTCGTTCAAAGGTACACTCAACAGAATGTGTAAACATGTACATACATACATACTATATGTACATACATATGTACCAGTATATACAATATGATTGTCGTCGAGTTGTGATAAGACTGGCGCTTATCAGCTTGCGTTGCGTTGGCAGCGGCAGACGCAGGGGTGCCACAAAGCCAAAACGACAGACGGACGAAACACACGACCTACCGACGTGACAAAAACTGTGCAAGGTGTGAACATACATGCACACATATGTATGTACATTTATTCATCAATATAAACACACACATATACATATATCTATGTTTATATGCAGGCACACAGATGTTCACAATATTAAGTACACTTTCACAACATGTTTTTATTTGCAATATTTATTTAGCTTTTACTGAAAGCCACTACTTGTATAAAAATATTTGCCACTGCAATATGGCAATACCTTAAAATGCACAAATTTATAGATAAAACCACAAACAACGTTTAATTTACATAAAAATGCTAAAGCGCAATAAAAGTTATAGAGGAAATGAATAAGTACAATCTCATACTATATTAAAAGTAGCGACAAAATGTAATAAATTCCAATATAATCGACATTTTTAGTTAATTTATGTGTGTATCCATTTTTATTTTTTAAAGTTTAATTCAAACTTGTAGGAATACGTGATACATGCATTTGTATGTGTTTTAAATTATGTAAATCCCTTGTTAACTTTATAAAAAGGCATTTGCCCCCCTTCAGCAAGAAGTAACTCAGGCAACATTACAAATTGCTTTTGCACGGTTTCACAATAAAAATTAAAAAGGATTCAAATGGAACTCTCAGCTTAAATCGAAATCAGCCAGCACATATGTATGTACAAGTATGTAAGTCTGTAGCTGTGCAAGTGTAGTTATTGTTTTGACCATCTGTGTATGTACATATGTATGTCATGTATGTATGTGTATGTCTATGTGTGTGGGGTGCATAAAAGATACCTTTGCTACTCTAAACAATCAATCAACATTTTTGATTTATATTGTAAAAAGTAAAGCGTAAGAGAAGGGAGCGGGCGAGGAAGTACTAAAATAAAATAAATAAATAATGCGAATATGCCAGAAAGGAAGACTGCGACGATCGACCCAACAGCCGACGAAGCGTCGACATTAAACCGTCGAGGCGAACACATACATATGTATGTATGAACATACATATATATACATACGTACATACATACATATATACATTTTGGAGCCGGCAAAGCGAACGCGTCGGGCCGGCAACAAACACAAAAAACAATAACAAAAGCAAAAGCTGAAAAATGTTCTGTGGATATTCAAAGCATGAGAGAAGCAGCGGCAGAGGCAGCAGCGGCAACAATAACAAAAGCAATGGACTGTTTCATTTCGTTCAAGCTCACACACATGCATACATACATTCCATCGTTTCGGCAAACGTTAGTTTGTTTGTCCCACTCACCCGGCGGCCAACAACAACAGCTGCAGACAGCACGACCGACTGCGAGACAGGCAGGCAGAACGACTGACAGTAGCAACAAAACGGCAACGAAACACTGCCTTTGCCTGATTGTGTGCTTCTTTTTTGGATCCGCGGGGGAAGCACAACGAAAAGGGAAAGCTAACTGTGCCATAAGTGTGCTTCGTGAGATTTGCGGTGCTTCGTGTTTTCCGATTCGGGTTGGTCGTGCGAGCCGCCAAGTGAATGTTATTTCTATTTTTAGCACATAGTTCACATCATCATTGCTCACCATACGTTGTTGATCACGACATCGCAGCGCTGATTGGTCGATGGCAGCCACAATTTATTGTTGGTGTATTAGCGTTGGCGAGCAAGCAAGCAAGCGACAACAACAACTATGGCAACAAGAACCTCCGTTCAAGCAACAACACAGAAAAGTTCTCTGTCGTCGCCGTCGTTGTCGACGTTGCCGGCATCTAATAGCGAATTTATGAAGGAATAAAATGAGCATTAAAATAAGAACAACAACAAAAGCCAGCGTAGAAATATGGAAATTGTGTATAATTAACAGTGCTGCTACCACTGTTCTTGTTGTTGTTGTTGCTGTACGCGAAGCGTGCCAAACTGTTGGTATCGCACAATTTGTTGTTGTTTCTCTATATTTTGGGCAAAATGCAATCGAACGATGTCCACTGTACGATAGA